TAAATATACCTGAATACAAAATAGTGAGAGCAAAAGTATTCTTTGTCTGTACAGCCCTGCTCTGAATTCAGTTTCTTGCACATACAGAAGCATGACTGTGTGCTGCACATTTACCTGGGAGTGAGCTGAACAGGACATAGTGGATTCATTTCCTAGTAAACATGTATAAAATGGCACTTCATAAGACTGAAATAGGGAATAGCTTTTGTTAACTCCATTGGCCCCTCAATTAGCCAGGGTTTCCAAGAGCTACCATGGGCTTCCAGAAGATGATTCCTTGTATTACACATGAACATAAGATGCTTGATTCGAACACATATGCTGCTGCTATTCCCTTAGCAGCATTATGTGTGGCTATCTATGAAGATCAGAGCTTCCATAATTTTGTACTCCTAGCCCTGAATCTAGTTAATTTGTTCACTGAGGTAAAGATGAAGTCAGGCAAATAATGCTCAAAACAGAAGGATTATGCTTCACAGACCTTCACATGAGAATCACTAGAAGAAAGTATCATTCAAGATGCTTTACAAATCAATCACAAGACAATGAACCAACAAATAAATGCCTTAAAACAATGTAGGCTGCACTGATTTTTGTATTAACACAGCATCACATACCATATGAACATCACTCCATTTTTGCATATTTAGCTACACCTGAAAAACTCGGGAGATCAGGCTAATAAGAGCTATTACAGAAGGGATCCCATTGTTATGGGGGCACTCTAACTAAAACAATGGTTTGTGTCAAACACCTGTTCATGGAGGGCACATAGAGTTTTCCTGCACTGCTCTCCATTATTGCAACTCTTTCCAACACCCTCCCCCCCATCATTTCAGGGGCTTCAGACCCATATTATTTAGTGGGGTGGAGTGAAGAGGAATAAGCAAATGAAACTGCTCCTTTCTCTCAGCAGAGCTGTGCCTCCAGAAGGAGGGAAAGGAGTAATTTCACCCCCATCCCTCCTCAGTCCAGCCCCCTCCCCATCATGTGGCCATTTCTCCAAGGAGGTCCCAAAGTTAAATGCTCAGGGACAGAAGGGTCTTCAGAAATGGAGAAGAATGCAGGAAAACTTTGTGTTACTTGTATTTTCATGCAATTTACTTTGCAAGGAGAGACAAAGGACTGATGAGGAAGGAAGGGGTCATCACTGAGGAATGAGAAATGTGAAAGTCAGAAACTAGGAGCAGACACAGGCAAAGTCAAAAGGGGCAAAAGGAGAGCTTGGAGTGTCAGCATGCAATTTATCAGATTTACTGTCCCAGTGTTAACACATCTTCCCAATGACATTTTGTGCCACATATAAAGATGCACACTGTACCTTCCTCAAATTCAGTTGGTTCCGCAGCATTTTCACCACTCATTAAAACAACAAAGCATGCATCTGCTCGGACTGTAGCCTGCCATGTTGACATGGCAACAGGCGGTTCTTGGCATGGAAAAAGAGCCCTGTTGTTTATTGGTGATCCTACTGTATAAACACATGGCCTATAGGGAAAAAAGAAATATCAAATGAAGTAATATGCACTGTAAAAGTCAGTACAGAAAATACCAAGTTCTCAATAGTAACAAAAATTCCAATTATCAATACCCTAGTTCATCTGTTCTTTATATAGGTTGAGAGTGTTAGAGATAAATCTTTAAATGAAAAATCCATCATTCCTGGGTTGTTGTTCTGTTTCTTCACAATAAAGAGGCAAAGTAAAAACACTACAGCATATATTTCTGTCTTCACACTTATATGTTATCTGCAAAGCAGTATCACTCCCTCGTTACTGGGAATCATGTCATTGGTGGAAACATCCATAAACCTACCACCTATCATCATCAATATATCTAATCATCAGCATGGCAAAATCTATGGATATTTAAATACAAATATCTAATCATCAGCATGGCAAAATCTATGGATACTTAAATACAAAGACTGGAGCCATGAGCAGGTAAAACAGATCTTTCTAGAAACCTAAGACAAGCACCAGGTATGTAGAAAAATCTGAAATCTTTAAAAATATATACTAGTTGGTGAAAACTTTAAAAAAAATATACTAATTGGTTAAAACTCCCCAAACTAATAGAAGCAGCACCTGTAGCTTTAAGAAACAAATGCCCTCAGTGGCCATTGCTAGGCAACCACAACAGCACTTCCAGCATTCAAGTCATGGTTTCTGTCAGTAAAAGGAAGGGGGAAGAGTCAGGGCCCTGTCCAAGGCTGTTCTGGCCTTTGAGGGAGAATTCCCTGGGGCCAGACGCAGCAGTAACCATAGACCAACTTCCTACCATGTGACTTACATGACTCACCCAGGCCTGGCTGCTTGCTACTTCAAACAGCACGCACCCCACAAAATCCAGTGTGGTGTAGTGGTTGGAGATTCAGAGTAGGATCTGGGAGTCCCAAATTTGAATCTCCATTCTGCAGTGGAAGCTCACTGGTGGACTTTTAGCTAGTCACACATTCTCAGCTTAAACTACCTCACAGCATTGTTGTGAGGATAAAGAGATTATATAAACTGCTCTGGCTCTTCATTGTGGATAAAGGCATGGAATAAATGCAGTAAACAAATATCAATACAGCTAAAAATGAGGGGCAGATAAAAGGTAGGTTGGTGGGTGGGAAGGAGAGAAAGAAGCAGCGAAAGGGGCTACAAGGAGGAGGGAAAG